ATTAAGCTCAAGATTGCTTGGAGCTGGGAATGGGATGGTCTGGAGCTGGGAATGGGATGGTCTGGAGCTGGGAATGGGATGGTCTGAAGGCAGCACTGACCAGAAGCTCCTTTCAGTCTGGAAGGGTGAACTTACCAACAGCAGGAAAATATGCCCCCAAAATATAACCAGGTGCCAGCCTTTCCCACGGAGCAGGGGGATTCCCAAGGGGGAACAGCAGGGAATGCTGCCAGCCCCTGCCTGGGCTTCACCCCGGTCGCTCCGTGGCTGGGAATGCTGATGGAATTCCAAAGTGGGCTCAGAAAGCTGCTCGTTAATTCCCGAGGGTGGAATTTTGAGAGTTTCGGTGGAGTTGAAGCCTCAGCTCGAGCGTCCAGCGCTGCAAAGAGCAGGATTTGGTTCGTGTCCCGGTCCGGGATGTTGTGGAGCTGCCGGGTGTGGAATGCTGCCCTTGCAGGGGCAGGAGATCCCTTGGGCAATCGCTGTGTCTCCAGAAATCTTCCCTTCTGTGCTCTTCGCCTCCCGAGTGCGCTCAGCAGAGGGAGCTGCAGCCCCGCCAGCCGCTCCATCCCGGCTTTTCCCCGGGATCGGGCTGGAATGCCGGGCGTTCTTACACATCCAGCTCGTTCCGCGCTCGGCCACGGGATTGGGAAGTTCAGGATCCACCTGGAGCTGAGCGTCCTTCGGCTCTCGAGGCGTCCACGTGCAGTTCGGATCGAGGCAGCAGGACCTCGGGACGGTGCCGGGTACAACCTTCAGGAGACCTCCGGGTCTAAATCCAGGGATACCTCTGGGATCCGTCGGGATATCAGCGCATCAGCAGGCGATGGGTGGGCGTCTCCTCCACACCACGGGGAGCCTGCCCTTGGCTCAGGTGTTGAGCAGAGTTGAGCTCGATGGGAAATCCCAGCTGTGAAAACGGGCTGGATCTGAGCATTTCCCCGGAGCGGGATTTTGGTGGGAATGAGGGACCGAGCTGCCCTCGAAGGCTCAGCTGACGAGGCTGGATCATCACGGAGACCTCGGCTGGGAGAAGATCTGCCCCTGAAGCCCCACTGAGCAGCTCGGGGGGGCGCTTGGCTGGTGCATCCCACTGCATCCCACTGCATCCCTAAATGGGAGCCTGAGGGATTCGCCTCGGGAGATGTGGGACAGCGGCGCCGGCGCCTCCGCTTTCCACCTGCCCGAGTGGATGGTGAGTTATTGACCTTCCCATTCCAACCAGCACCCAGCCATGGAGGGGGCTCCACTCCTGGAGGGAGCTTTAGGTCTCCATGTTGGGTTTAGCTGGAATGAGGGTCGTTAAAGTCGGAGATTAACGAGCTCATTGAAAATGGCCGAATGACGGGGGCTGGTCCCCCCCGGGTCACCCCATCCTGCAGATCTGTCAACAATTAATTTTAGTAATAATTTTGGAGCCAGTGGGGAAGAGGAGTGGGAGAAACCTCCTTGTGTCCTGGGAGACTTGGAATTCCACCGGCAGCCGCTTCGGTTTGGATTATCAGCTCAGGTTCTGCCGTCACAAAACCTCTGAAACTCGGAGCTGCCCCTCGGGGCACCGTGGTGGGTCAGGGGTTTAGAATCCACGGCAGCAGGCACTAAAATACACTTTTCCCTGCTTCTCTGGTGGAGAGAATTCCCAAAGCAGCTGGAGATACAATGACATTGCCCCAAAAACCCGGCGGTGCTCGGGGACAGGAGGTTTTGTGCCGGGTTGGCTCCGCGTGTCCCCCGGGGGTCTGTCGGTGTCGCGGGGTCCAGAAACGCTCCTGGTGCTCCAGAAGGACTGAAATTCCAGGTCAATATTCGTTGTCTCTTCCCAGATTCCCGCTCACATCTCCAGCTTCTGGTCTGGGAGTCATCCCTCCTGGTAGTTCTTCTAAAAATACGTGGATTATTGTAATAAAAAGTTGGAATTCTGGTGCTGCTACGAGGGGATTTGATATTTATCTACAAATAACGTCCATGCACTGGGTTCAAATGTCATTATTCCCCTTTAATATCCAGCTTTTTGTATCCCACTATCCCTTTCTTAAGATTTGTGGATTTTATTGTCGTAAAATTCCAGTTTATTGTCCTGCTCCTCACTCATTTTTAATAGAGAATGATCCTTTCAGCTTTCCCCCAAATGTATCAAATTATATAATATATAATTAATTATATAATATATTTTTATATATATTAATATATGTTATATATAAATTATATCATATTTATATGATATATATATTTATATGATATAATTCATCATATTTATATGGGAAATTAATTTGGCACTTTAAGGGTTATCAGTGACAAACTTTTGCAATTCATTTGCTGTTTCAGATGTGGATTTTTAACTGCAAAGGTGTGGAGTTCTCCTTAAAAACAAGCAACAAACCTCCCCCTACAGATCCATCCCCCTCTCTCATTTTCTCCATTATGGATTTAGTGCCTCTGGGATCAGAACCAAATGACAAAAACTTTATTTAAATAGACTGGGTTTTTTTTTTTTCCTCATGGCCTCAGTAATTGCCTTTTCCAGTGCAGTTTTATGATTTTATGGATGGTTAAAGCTGCTGTGGCACCAAATCCATCTCCAGAGGGCCCAGGGTTATGTCCTCCAGGGATGTTTTTAATCAGGATTTTTAACTTGCCTGATTTGCATTTTATGTGCTTTCTCGGGTCAGTGTGGGAGTGAACGGCCACAGTTCAAGAAATAATTAGGCCCTGGCCTTAAAATGCTCATTATCTTTAAGGTCATTATTTCAACGAGCCTTTTAGGTCTTAATGTTCTTGCCAAGGTCCTTCCTTTGCCTCGGTTCACCTCTCGTAATTAAATGTTGGAAAATGCGTCGTCAGGGAACGGCGGTGACGCCTTCGCACGGCTCCTTGGAAAAGCAGCAGGTTCAAAGGGGAGTTTTCCCACATTCTGGAACTCTGATGGTCGGGAGATCTGGGATCTGCAGCGGGTCAGCTCTGGGATTGCAGAGCTGCACCCGAGCTGGGATTGAGCCATGGAATCCCGGGATCATTTGGGTTGGAAAAGCCCTCCGGGCCCATGGAGCCCAACCCTTCCCCAGCACTGACCCCTGTCCCCAAGGGCCACATCCACAGGGCTTGGAAATCCCTCCAGGAATGGGGGCTCCACCCCTGCCCCGTGCCAGGGCTGGGCAGCCCTTTCCAGGCAGGAATTTTCCCTGGTATCCAACCCAGCCCTCCTCTGTCCCCACAGCAGCCAGGGAAGGGCTCCCGTGTGCACTTGCGGGCCAGGAATTCCTCACCCCTCATCCCACTGGAGGCTCCAAAGGAGGGGAAATTCCAAATTTTCGAAGCTTCTGGGAATTCTGCAGCATGTGGGGCAGGAACAACTTTTGGCTTTGTGTCATGGGGGGATGGTTTAATGAGCTCTAATTGCACAGTCTAATAATCGTTAGACAGTGAACAGCAGAGGTGTTCATTTTGCTGTGACCTTTTCCTTTTTCCCAAAAAAACCCCAGGTGTTTTAGGGAAGCTTGTGCTGCTGGGCAGTGTGGTGGGAAGGAGCTGTGAGATCCCATGGGATGCTGGCTGAGGATGGGATCTGGGAGTGCTGCAGGTGCTGCCCAGGCTGGTGATGATTCAGCAGGTGTTTCCCATCTCCAGCTGCTGAGATCCCACATTTTTCCAGTATAAAACACACCTGAGCCATCATTGCAAGTTGAGGAAGTGTGGGAATGGCCCTTGTTGTGGGGCTGTGCCCCACAGAGCTGGGATGGACTGAGGGATCTGCTCCACAGCTGAAGGAGGAGGTTTCTCTCTTCCTTGTCCTTCCTTTGTCCCCAGTGGAATTTCCTGCTTTAGGTATTTGCTGTTTTCTTTTTTTTTTTTTAAGGATTTCTCCTCCCTGCTCCCTCCAATTCCAGCAGCAGGGATGGCCCCATGCTTTTGCCATGCCTTGGATTTAAGTGCTGCTGTTTGTTACCATGGAAGTGGCTCTGTCAGGGAATGCCAAGGTGTGCCATCCCTGGAAGTGTCCAAGTGTTGGACGGGGCTTGGGACAACCTGGGACAGTGGAAGGTGTCCCTGCCCATGTCAGGGGGTGGAACTGGGTGATCTTTAAGGCTCCTTCCAAACCATTCCATCATTCCATGACCCAGCACTGGTGTGATACCTCCAGGAATCAGTGATTTGACTTCCCAACACTCCTGGAAATCCCTCTGGCCCAGGTGGGTGGCTCCTCGTTCCTGTCCTTTCTGTCCCAAGCCCTGCAGGTAAAACCACCTTTAACCTGCACATTCCCAAAGGGAAGATGCCAAAGGGTTAAAGGTGTGTGTTAATCCTGGAGTTGGTCTCCGTGTGACCTTTTCCCTGGAGAACTTGGAATCTGAAGCACTTGGAGCTCTGGCAGAAGCTTTGGCTCGGTGAGCAGCGCCGTCAGGATTCCACATTAATTCCCTGTGAAACCAGGGAATGAGTGGCTTTGGAACAGCCCTTCCCTTGGAGTGATGAGATCTGGGAGGTGGATTGGGAAAGCAGAAGCTGTTGGAGCTGAGGGATGCAGCTCCTTCCCAGCACAGAGAGGGTTTGGCACCGCTGAGCCCACGGAGGGAGCCGGGCTCTGCCAACCCCTCTCCGGTTTCCCAGGGACAAGGGAGCAGGAGATGAAGTATCTGCTTGGCAGCAGCTCTGGAGCAAACCAGCTTTCCCTCCATGAATAGGGATGAGAGGGCAGCAGGAGGAGGGTTGGGCTGGGAGCTGCCATCCCTGGGCTCCGGTGGGACACCGGGGTGATCCTGTGGGTCCCCTCAGCTCTGGACACGCAGCTGGGAAATCATTTCTCCTCCAGCCTTTACTCTCCTTTATTTGAAAAAACAGTAAATTGATTTTATTGATTTTTCTGGGCATCATCAGTAGATGAGATGTTTTTCCCACTAGGAAGAGAGTTCCCAGGAAGTTTGTGGCCAAGCAGTGGCAGTTCTTGGAGATCACCTCCTCCTCCTGCTGTTTCATCCACGAGTAGATGGATTTTAACTCACTCCATAACCTGCTCTTTCTTTCCCAAGTTTATTTCAGGTGGATTTGGAAGCTGGAGAGCTTGTGCCCCCTTAATCCCACAGAAAACTCTTGTTTTCTCCCTTGTTTCCTTAAAAAACCCAAATATCCGTGGCTAAGAATCAATTTAAAACTCTCTGACTACAAAAACAATTTACTGAGTTTGAACACGGTTCTCCCTGGTTTTATCTGTTTGGCCCAGACTGACACAGGAATTGCAGAAGATTCCTGAGCTGTGGAGTGGAGGTGAAGGAAAGAACTTTTATTTTTAGAGAGTATTTATTTATTTTTAGAGATAGAGGTTCTTAATTTTAGTGTCTTGATCTCAGCTGAAAAAAGGCTTTTTTTTTTTTTTTTTTTTTTTTTTTTTTTTTTTTTTTTTTTTGTCCAGGAAAAGCCTTTTGATTTCAGTGCTTTGATGTGACAACCTACTGAGAAAGTAGTTGGGCTTTGGTGGTGCCATCAGGATGGGCTTTGTACCCCCTTGAAGGGCTTTTAACCAATTTACTAAAGTGTCTCCCTTGGGATTTTGCAGGAAAAGGGTCACCAATAATGGTCCAAATTAAAAATTTGCCTTGACAACACGACATTGACCTGAGTGTCAGTTGAAGCTTCTCTGGGCAGGATGTTGAGGTTCTTATGGGGGTTGTCCTTGGTACCTTGTCAGGGACAAAAATCTCTGGATAACAACTCCAGCCACTCAGTTAAAGGAATTGTCCTGCAGCAGGTCTGCTCCATCCACAGCCTTTTCCTGCTGCAGTAGGAACCTGCAAGGTAGGAAGAGACTGGATAGAAGGAAGAAATAATGGGAAAAAGGAGGGTGGGGAGGCCCTGGCCCAGGTTGCCCAGAGAAGCTGTGGCTGCCCCTGGATCCCTGGAAGTGTCCAAGGCCAGGTTGGAGCAACCTGGGCCAGTGGGAGGTGTCCCTGCCCATGGCAGGGGTGGCACTGGACAGGCTTTAAGGTCCCTTCCCACCCAAACCATTCCATGATCCTAAAAGGAAAGGTCTGGCGCGGGAACAGCGGGATGGGAGTGGGAGTGTGGAGTGGGAGTGTGGAGTGGGAGCGTGGACCCTTCCAAGGGCAAACTGTGCACTTGCAGCCGTGGGGGGCAGAGCGAGGACCCACACAATTAAAAACCACTTTGCCACGTACCGAATGCCTGCGTTGTTTTAGTTGCTCATTAGTTAATTTTCTTCTAATGAGGCTCCATTAACGAAACCATCTGACATTGGTGGAGGGGGGGGGGAGAAAACGGAGGGGGGGGAGAACCCGAGTTAAAAGAGCTTAATTAGCAAGTTAATTATAGCGAGCAGGGAACTGTTCTGGTTACATAAATAAGGCATTGTTATGCACACACAAGCCAGGCCACGTTCAAACCGGCCGCCAACTGTCTGGAGGTCGGGAACCGCTGTAATTCCCTGCGGAACACAAGCGGGGCTTGTTTGCCGGGACGCCTCATTAAGTCTTGGGGTCCTTCCCTGCCAAAGGGGGGAAAAAAAAAAAAAAAAAGAGGGAATCTGAAAATGCCAGCGGTTCCTCCCCTCCCTCCCTGTGCCTCCACCCCGCAGCTGAAACCAGAGCGGGATGGGGAGGTATAAATGGGGGGGCATTCCCGGCTCCGGAGGGACGCGGAGCGCGGGGCCGGCGGGGACACTGCCATGCCCAACAAGAAGAAGTACAATGTCAACGGGGACTCGGGGATCAAAGCCCAGGTGAGGGCACTCTTCAGCACCAGAACTGCGTTTTTCTATTCGTGTTTTTCCTCTCTTTTTTTCCTCCTCCTTTCCTTGCTGTTCCCCCCCCAGCCCGGTCGCTCGTTTCTGGAGCCGACTGCTCGGGGAAAATCCCAATTTTTGGAGTATTTCTTTCCATTTTCTCTTGGGAGCAGGTTTCAGTGATGGAGTTGAGCCAAACACATGTCTCTGGGGTTGTTCCTCGGAGCACTGCAATGGAGGAGGAGATGGGGTTGAGAGCAGGGAGATTCTCCAGGAAAACCTTGGATAATGGGAGTGGTTTTTCTCGGTGAAGGAGCACAGTTTTGTGGCAGGAGCCCTGGGTGGAAGTGAGACCTGGCTCATTTGAAATGTGGTGAGCACACACCTGATCTTAGGAGTCATTGGCCTTGCACATCTGGCAGGGAGGTTTTCCAGCTTGAATTGGTTTTTCCTGCTGGAAGTTGAAAGCAGCGGCGCCTTGGGAGCAGGTTGGGCTCCTAAATCCAAGGAGCTGCAGGTCTCAGAGGCTTCAGAGCTTCTCCTTGGAGCTCCAGCCTGTGCAGGGGTGGCTGTTGCCTTCAGGGGTGTTTTGGTGTGAGCTGGATGAGCTCAGGCTGGAACCAAATCACTGTTCTCATCCATCCCCATCTCGGATGTCCCCCGTTCCCGGCGCGTTGTGCTGTCTTGCCTCGTGGGATTGCTTGGGATTTGAGCAGCCTGGTCTAGTGGAAGATGTCCCTGCCCATGGCAGGGGGCTGGAACGAGATGATCTTTAATATCCCTTCCAACCCAAGCCATTCCATGATTCTATGGAATTCCAGCAGCCCTTCTTGCCCGCTCCCTCTGTTGCTCAAAGGATGTTGGTCGACACAAGGTAAAAGCCTTGGCCTGGCCCCTTCCCAACATTTTCCTTTCCTGGAGCTTCCTTCAACCTCTTGGGGGGTCAGTTCCTTGCTCAGGTAAAACTAAACCCATCTTGTAGTTTAAAGGGTTTAAACCCTGAAGGGGGTGGAGAGCAGAGCTTATTATAAAGTCTAGTTCTGGTTCTGCCTGGTGTGGTTCAGGACTGACTTTGCTTAGTCTCATACTTGGTTTTGGATGTGGAAGGGCTCAGAGAGCTCCAGGTTACCAATATTGGTGCATTGCCTGGAACAGTCACATTGAGTGTCCTTGAAGGGAAATGTTAATTCCAGCACAAATTATCCCCCCTTGGTTGGAATCCCAGCCCATCCCAGCGTCGTTTCACACTGACAACCTGATGCTTTGATGGAGCTGCTCAGCCGTGGGGGGGGGATTTGTTTTAAATTAATGGAATAAAAAGGGGAGAAAAAAAAAAAAAAGGATGTTATTTCAGGCCAGCAGCTTCTTAGGGAAGGCACATAAAGGTGTGTGTGTGCAAAGCCCCCGTCCCGCCGGGCTCAGGGTGTTAATCCTCCCTGGGGCTCTGGCTGGAACATGAGTTTGTCCTGGTTTTTTCCCCTCCCGTGTGTGTTTCCTGATCCGATGTCATTCTGTTGGTTGGTTTAAGATTAGCAGGGGAAAAAACCTCCCAGGTGCTGCTGCAAATCCTCTCCCAGCTCCTTCCCCTCCCCTCTCCTCCCAGCTCAAGTGCTGCCACTTAAACCACTGAGCTGGAGTTGGAATTCCCAGAACAGGGTCCAGTTCCTTCTGCTGAAATGACTCCTCGAAACAACTGCAGAACTTCTCAGGAAACCCCGAGGGGCTCGTTAATAGACCCAAGTTAATGGCTTTCAGTAATTTGGAGATGTAAATATTTGACCCTCGTTGCACCAGAACGAGTCAGTTCATGGTCAGAGCCAAGTCCAAGCCCTGATTCCAATTTCCCTGAGATTTAACAGGAATCATGGATGTAGTGGGGGCATCAAGGGTTGGCTCGGGAAGGGATGAGCACCAGGAGTGGAAATATCTCCTCAAACTCTAAATTTTAGGATATGTTTGAATATGGCCCAGTAGCCACATACAGAGAAAACTGGAAGAGGGTGTGTTTAGATGGAATACTGGGAAGGAATTCCTGGCTGGGAGGATGGGAAGGCCCTGGCCCAGGTTTCCCAGAGAAGCTGTGGCTGCCCCTGGATCCCTGGAAGTGTCCAAGGCCAGGTTGGAGCCACCTGGGCCAGTGGAAGGTGTCCCTGCCCATGGCAGGGGTGGCACTGGATGAGGTTTAAGGTTTTTCCAACCCAAACCATTCCAGGATTCCATGAATTAAAAGGAATGTTGAGGTATCTGATGCTCGTGAAGCCCCGTGGAGTTGGTGCTGATGTGAGCAGGGAAGAGTGAAGACAGGTCCAACCCAAGGTGCACATCAGGGACACAGGAGGGCTGAGTCTCTGCTCTAAAATCCCCAAAATCACCTGTAAGATCAGACGTTTGGCTCATGGGAAAACCTGGATTTGAGGAAATAAAGGGATACTGATTGCTTGTTCCTCTTTGCTGTTCTTGTCAACCAAAGGCTGGAGGAAAACCAAGCCCAGAGAAAAAGATTCCTCTGTGAATACCAGGGTTAAATGTCATTTCCCTGTTAAAAAATGGGAAATTTGCTTATCCCTTCTGTCCTGGTGTGCTTGGAGCAGATCAGCTTGGCTGGCTTAAATATTTATCTCTTGTGCTCAGGGCCTTGGGGGAATCTGAAATCTTCATTCCTTGGTGGTGACAGAGATGGAGACAGGTTTTAACTCTTCACTGAGCAAAACACCACCAAATATTGGTGTTAATCCATTGCTGCAGCTCCTTGTGGACGTTCCTGGGAAATCCAGCTCTCCAGCCTGGAGAATTGCTTGGATTTAATGGCTCATCCCGAATTCCTTGATTTGTCTGGTGAAGTTGTGTGCTCTTAAATACAATTTTCTTAAATACTTGTATTCTCCAACGGGTTGGGTTGGAGTGACATCTCTAATCCCTGCTGGAGGGTCTGGAATTAAACCAAACAGGGAATTTAACGTGTCCTGTCCCCATCAAACAACAGGAACTGTGGTTCAGCCCGGAGCTGGGACGGTGTCGGTGTCTGCTCGAGGCTCTGGCTTCCTGGGGTTAATCTCCTGCTGGGTGTTTTGGGTCTGACTCAGCTCCCTGGTTTCTCCCCACAGATCCAGTTTGCCGACCAAAAGCAGGAGTTCAACAAGCGCCCGTCCAAGATCGGCCGCCGCTCCCTGTCCCGCTCCATCTCGCAGTCCTCCACGGACAGCTACAGCTCAGGTGAGGGGGGCAACTCTCCAGCCTCTGCACACCCTGGGCATTTGTCCTGTCTTTCCCTCAGGGACCTCCCAGATCTGCTGGAAGGTCGGTACTGTGGGGAGGGGAGGCGTGGAAAGAGGGTTGTTGCTTTTTTTCCTCGTCCCCGCGTGTGGTTGGATGGAAAATCAAGTCATTCTGATGCTCTCAACGCTTCTCATCTCTCCTTATAGCCCTCGTGTGCAGTTCCTGCTGCCTTCCCTCCTCTCTCCCCCTTCCTTTTCCTTCCAGGCTCAGCAAAACAACGTTTCTCCATTCTATTCTTGCTTCCCTTCCTCTTCTTGAACAAATCCATGTGGATCTCACTGTAGGTTTGGACTTACCTGTTGCACGTGGGATTGGAGTCTTTGAAAGAGCAGTGAGGACCTTTGAGGGCCTTTTTGAAGGTGTTTTTCCTGCTGGAGTCTGAGCAGTGACACTCTCTGGATGTGTTTTTGGGATATTTGGCAGGTCACAGCGGGTTTGAGGAGAGCCTGGGTAGATATTGGGTAGTTTCATGGAAACATAGAATGGTTTGGCTTGGAAGGGACCTGAAAGATCATCCCATTCCAAGCCAGGGACACCTTCCACTATCCCAGGTTGCTCCAAACCTCATCCAACCCGGTGAGAGGTTTAAAGCTCTGGTTTAATTAAATGTAAAAGCCTCTGGAAACTCAACATCCAAGTCCTGGCTGATGGCTCAGAGACACTGCCACAGACCTGGCTGGTGGCCAGAGCTCCTGCTGAACTCCTGCATGGAAACCCTGCTTTGTGTTTCTCTGCTCATTTCCCTGATCCTGAGGATACTGGAGATGAGGGGACAGGACCATGCTGTCCTTTCCAGAGGGAGGCATCAGCCCAGGCTCTGTTCCCACTTTGGAATCCACAGCTCCATCCAATCCCTGAGCACCAGGGAGTGTTTTGTGACTGTTGTTTTTGAAGAACTTGTTGTTCTGCTTGGCCTGGCCCGTGTCATGGTGTTCTCTCCTGGTTCACAGCTGGAAAAACTTGGAATATCTTTGGGGAATTCCCCAGTGCTCCTTGCAGTCACCATCTCCTGCTAAAGCATTGGAAGTGTCAATTAATGAGCTTGTGGGAATACTGAATTTCCCTCCTCCTGGAAGCAGGAGGTTGGCAGCCAGGATGGAAGACTTCAGTTGCCAGGGTGGCTGCAGGATGGAGGGATAAATCCCATTGGAACATCTTGGTCTTTGTTGTTCCCCTTCTCAGACTGAACAGTAGCACAATCTGAACAACCCATTGAGTTCTCCTGGGATGGGAAAAGGCTGGAAAAGAAGCAGCATGAGGAGAAGAGAGGTGATGATGGAGGGAAAGAGTCACAGAATTGTTTAGGTTGGAAAATCCCTCGGAGACATCGAGTCCAAACATCCCCCAGCTCTGCCAAGGCCACCACTGACCCACATCCCCAAGTGCCACATCCACAGGGCTTGGAAATCCCTGCAGGGTTGGGGCCTCCAAACCTCCCTGGGCAGCCCCTGCCAAGGCCTCCCCACCCTTTCCAGCAACAAATTCCTCCTCAGCCCCAACCTGACCCTCCCCTGGCCCAGCCTGAGGCCGTTTCCCCTTGGCCTGTCCCTTGTTCCCTGGCAGCAGAGCCCGGCCCCCCCCGGCTCCCCCCTCCTGCCCCCCCGGCTCCCCCCTCCTGGCAGGGACTTGCAGAGCCAGAAGGTCCCCCCTGAGCCTCCTTTGCTCCAGGATGAGCCCCCCCAGCTCCCTCAGCCCCTCCTGCTGCTCCAGACCCTTCCCAGCTCCCTTCCCTTCCCTGCACACCCACAAAGTGCAGGGAGGTCTCAAGGTTTGGAAGTGATGGATGTGAGTGAAAAATTGACCCTAAACCAAGCAGCTCTTCCCTGAGACCTTCTGGGAAGGCAGTTTTCCAGCATCCTGGTCCAAAATTCTAGGGCAGTGCCAGTGCTGTTGCAGCGATGCAAGGATGGGTGTGCAAACAGCTGTGGGTTCTTGCTCTTCCTGCCCATCAAAACTGGAATAATGAGGGTGGGGAGGCCCTGGAATAGCTTTCCCTGAGAAGCTGTGGCTGCCCATCGGAAAATTCCCTGGAAGTGTCCAAGGGCAGGTTGGAGCAACCTGGACTAGTGGGAGGTGTCCCTGCCCATGGCAGGGGGATGAAACAACAGGATCTTTAAGCTCCTTTCGAATCCAAACCATTCCATGATTCTGTGACAAACCAGCAGAGACACTGTGGAATGTGAAAATGTCACCTCTCAGTTGCTGTGAAGTCCAAGGAATGACAAAACCAGTGGTGCTGATCCCCCTCTTCCAATTAGAATTCTTTTAGTCTCTTACTGATCTGCCACGAGCCGCTGGTTTTCTGTGATTGTTCCACTTCATTTAAAGGGACTGATTTTTCTCACTGGGGAAATTAATTGTTTTCTGCCCCGTTTGGGAGCGATTTATTCGCCCCAGGACACACTTGGGTGTTTTATCAACATCTGCTGCTGCCAGCCAGGGAAGGGCACCGAGCTGGGAGCTCTGCTCTGGAGTCCAGGGGGTGTTTGGATCAATTTTACTTAAATTTTACCTAAATTTCACAAACTGTCCTTTCCCTTTCTGCCAAATTCAGATCATTATCTGCTCCAGCAAAGATTTGGGGGGATCAGGTGGTTTACAGGAGCCCAGCTTTGAATGCTCAGACACTCAGCAGTGTGTGTGACACACCACATCCATGTTCTGTGGGTGGGATTGGAACAGGAATAGCTGGAATTCAAGGCCCCTGCCTTCACCCTCGTGCTGCTGCAGAACTTTGGGAAGGCTGCAAGGTTTGTCTTTATTTGGGCTGTGACAGGGGCAGGTTGTCCCTTTTTTGCCCTAAATTTTGCCAGTTTGAGCAGCTCTGAGTGGACCCTCACCTGAAATATTAGCAAAGCTGAACTTGGCTGAGTTTAGGCTCTGACCTGAGTTTAGGATTTGGAGTCCCCAGCCTGTCTGGGCAGAGATACAAACACATAATACAAATAATATGATTTACATTAAAATGCTCCATGACTCTGCAGAATTGCCAACCCCAGGCAGGGAGTTTTCATTAATCAACTTTTGGGTGAGTTGAGATGATAATTAGGAGGCTGCCTATCCATCAGCTAATTGGATATTTCCAGGTGACAGGAATCCTTTCCTTTCTGTGTTTGTTTTTCATTTGACAGAAAAGCAGAGGCAAAACTGACTGTTACAAATCATTATGCTGTTCTATTACACTAATGATATTCATTTAATTGCCATAGTTCTGTAAACACTTTTATATATTATATGTATTTAGCAGTAAAGAACAATCTGCACAAGAAAATCTGGCCACTCTAGGCAGGGTTGTTGGGGTTTTTTTTGATTAAAAAATTGCTTTCAGCCCCCAGAACGAAAAATGGCTGGTTTTAAAGAAACCTCCACTCAGATTAACTGTCTTCAAGGAAATAATCCTCCTTGAACTAATTAATCCTCCCTTCTGGAGTCCTTGCTGTCCGAGAGTTTGGTTTTATATAAGGTGCCCTTTTGTTATTAATCCGGGCTCCTGGGCCTGCAGGGTTGTGAACACCCTGAATTTGGGGCTCCANGTGTGGCTCTCGGGGAGCCTGGTGCTCCCACAGAACCACACTAAGCTTTTTTTCCTTGGCATCATCCAAGTGCTTCACAGGAGCCAGAAGGGACAGGAACCACCTTGTTGGGTCCTGCAGGAGAGACAAACCCACAGCCGGGGTGGGGTGGAGGGTTTAACTCCTTGGTGGAGAGTTTAACTCCTTGGTTTGGGGGGTTTTTTTGGGGTGGAAATGCCACCAGAGCCGTTCTGGGCAGAGGGAGGTTTTCTTTGCTCCAATTCCTCTGCAGGGGCTGTCAGAATCAGTCACAGCTTCAGGTCTGGATGCCCCTGGAAAGCTCCCTGGGAGCTCTGGAGGGTGGTGGAGACCAGGGGTTCAACCATCTCCCCATGACAGTGTAAGAACCCCTCACCCTTCCTGCTGCCTAATTCCTGACTGGGGTAGAAATGGGGAATCTGTCCTGAGCACTGGGGAGAACAAACCCCTTGGGTTGTAGAGCATTCCCTCCTGGAAACTGTGCCTGTGGTGCTGGGGAGGACAGAGGGCTCGTCAGGGTGTGGGGTGTCCATCATTTGGAGCCATCCATGACACTGGCCAACATCCAAGGCTGTCGTGGATCGGGCAGTTCTACCACGGAGAAACTCCTCTGGAACAGATAATGTGATGTCATGGATCAGGCTGTTCTACCACAGAGAAACTCCTCTGGAACAGATAATGTGATGTCATGGTTTGGGCTGTTCCACCACAGAGATTCTTCTCTGGAACAGATAATGTGGTGTCATGGATCAGGCTGTTCTACCACAGAGAAACTCCTCTGGAACAGATAAAATGATATCATGGATTGGGCTGTTCTACCACAGAGAAACTCCTCTGGAACAGATAAAATGATATCATGGATTGGGCTGTTCCACCACAGAGAAACTCCTCTGGAACAGATAATGTGGTGTCATGGATTGGGCTGTTCCACCACAGAGATTCTTCTCTGGAACAGATATGATGTCATGGATCAGGCTGTTCTACCATGGAGATCCTCCTCTGGAATAGATAATATGTCTTGGATTGGGCTGTTCCAGCACAGAGATCCTCCTGTGGAACAGATAATATGATGTCATGGATTAGGTTGTTCCACCATGGAGGTCCCCCTCTGGAATAGATAATATGATGTCATGGATATAGGGCTGTTCTACCACAGAGATCCTCCTCTGGAACAGATAATATGATGTCATGGATCAGACTGTTCCACCACGGAGATCCTCCTCTGGAACAGACCATTTGGTGCCATGGATAAGGCTGTCCAAGCAAGGAGATCCTCTTGTGGAACACTGAGTTGGACGACAGGTCTCGGGTTCATTTTACAAGTTCCACGTGATCTGGGGAGTAAAGGCTTGGAGTAAAACTTCCAGGCAGTTTAATAGGGAATGAGGGAATGAGGCTTTTGAGTTGGGTCCTGGGAAGGTCCTTTGGAAAGGGAAGAGGAGCAATGGTTTCTGGTTCATCACGTTGCTCTGACTGCTGGTGCCTGTCCTAAAAGATGGAAGAGGTTTGGCTTCCCACGGTAGGGACATATTCCAGGGGAAAGCATGGCACAAACAATCTCCTCAGATGATCCCGAGTGGAAGCAGAAGTGGTGGTTAATTCATCGGGACTCAAACTGAAAATGGATGTGATTTTATATAAGCACACGTGATTTTAGTAATCAAAATAAATGGGAAGGGGGATTTCTAATTCCATGAAGGGCTTTTCCATGCACCTCCACGTGTCTGCTGTAGTCCAGTTCCATAACCAGGAGTTTGGAGGGCACTGATAGGAAAGGAAGACGGTTTTTGACACATCCACACCTGGTCTTAAACCAGCAGCTTAATGTGATTCCGTGGGACCATGATCCATGTGGGATCAGGTGATCTGTGGCTCTCTAACCCATTCCTGAAGTCCCCCAGGGATGGAGAGCCACCACCTCTGGGGCCAGTCCATGCCAGTGTTGTGTCATCCTCCCAAGGAAGGAGTTTCTTCCTCTCGAGTTTCCTTGTGATCCTCCCAAGCAGCAGCTCCTGGTCCTCACTGAGGAGCATCCAAACTGAGCAAATCCAAGGACTGGGAATGCCACCATACCTGGATAATCATCAACTCACAGCCTTCACCAGGATGTTGTTTGGAATGGAACAGGGTCTTGTGTCTGTGCTGCCCTAAATTACAACTTGRRAMRG